GGCACCAAAAGTCCTTGGGCCCAGGATTTTGTGGGACAAAACATTGTGTCAACTTAAATGACTGAAATGGGTGTTTCTGAAAACCCGGTATACCTCAAACTTGGCGTTACTTAGAAAATATGAAAAGCTAATGGTTTGACTGCCTTGAGCTCAGGTGTTCAATTCACATCTCTGATCCCGGTCGTTTCAGCATCTTCAAAAAATATCAGATCAAAGGCGGAGCTACCACATTCAAACAACATCGAACAACAAGTTTATATACAAAACAAAGACGCCACCCATTTGCCCCCTAACCATCAGGAAAGTTTCAATCCTTTGGTCAAGGCCTCCATACTCGGATCGCTCGGATCGCTCGGATCGCTCGGATCGCTCGGCTCCGCCTCGCTGTGCTCCATTGGTGGCGACACCGCTGCCCCTCGCGCACGCTTCGCCAGCCGCGGCGAGGCCGGGGGCTCCGCCGCACGTCGCAGCGGCGACGGCCGCGGCGAGGTTGGGGGCTCCACCGGCCGCGGTGGCGCGGCTGGCACGCGCGGAGGTGGCGTGGCTGGCGCGGCTGGTGGGCCATGCTGGTCCTGGAGAGTTGTTTGGGTGGAACTGCAGAAACCAAAAAATGAATCAGCTTTTGGGGTTGGGAGGGTTGGGACCGAGTCAAGATCTTCATCGGGTCTTGTTGATTTTGGCACCTCCAATAATGCGTTGGCTGCGGCTTCCAAGGAGCCGTGAATCTCCAGGGCTCCTCTCAATGTCGGCACGATGGATGGAGATCCAGTGGGATACAGGGTTGGATCATAGCTCTGGCTTGTTTAATATATGTTTATTCAGTTCAGCCAGCATCCCATCATCATGATATAAAGGTATTCTATAAATATAACATTATCTGGCTGAGTCCATGGGCTTGTAGACTCATCAAGTTAGAGAGACCCAAAAACGTTCTACTACAGTTTGTGATTTCAGAAACCTGGAAAAAGACCAATGTCAAGTTTGAAACATTATACAGAATAGGCATGGACCGATATCGATAATAGAGAAGACTAGAAACCATCAAGTATTTTTAGGCTAATGTTTGGCGTTTCCATCCTTAAAAGCCCTAGCTCAAAGTCTCATGGGCTATGCATCAGCCCACACAAGACTCTCAACAGTCCCAAGTGCGGGTCAACGACATGACCCACTGGTCAAAGGGTCCGGATTTCTGACGGATCCTGCGATCCCGGCTTATCAATGGGTCCAAACAGTTTGTACGCTCAAAAAACCATGGTTGATCACAGTGGATCATCATATTCCCAGCTCAAATGGCGATAAATTGGGGCCAAATCCCCCATTTCCGAATCCAAATGTTGACCCAGGATCCAACTTACTATCATTCTCAAAGCATGCATTAAACTGTGTGGTTCACCATTATTATAGTTTAAGAACGGGCAATGGTTAGTAAGCACTAGTTCAATTTTTAATGATTTTGATTCAATGGTTTCCCATTACTTAAACTATCATTGAAGCATCATTGTACCCAGATCATCATTAAAATTAAGTATAATATAATAATATAGTATAATATATAATGGTTTGCCCTATCCAAAAAAATGCTCGTCATCTCCACCAATACAGTAATCCCTTTGATATGCTTGAAAAAACAATCAAAAAAATCTCTCCTCCCACTTTTAAACCTACCATTTATTTACAAAAGTGACCTCGCCGGAAAAAAAAAAATCCGGTCGACCATCCCATCTCCTCTAGCGCTCATTGTCTCGAAGCCCATCCCCACCAACTGTGCCACCTGTTCATCCAGGTCGCGGCTGGACGCGGAACCAGCGGAACTGGAGGCGTCGGGGAGGGGCGGCGGGTTCATCAGCAACATGTCCTGGGGGCAGCGGAGATCTCAATTTTTTTTGGGAAAAAAAAAGTTTTAAAAAAAAAACAGGTTGGATTCATCGAGACTGGCTGGCTTCAGCCAAGCTTCGGCAGCCCTTTCCACGTTGTTCTGACCTCAAAAAGGGGAAATTGGATCAAAGGAAGTCTAAGCACCGAAGCAACTTTGGGATGGGATGGCTTGTTTGGAGGGATCATGGTGATGTCATATTTCAACATCGCTGCCTATCATTGATAGTAATACAATGTAATACGCACTTGTGTTTTTTTCCGTTTGACATAAACATTCATGACCAGCAAGAGCTCAAGAGCAGACAGAGAAAACATGAGAGAGCTACACAACTACAGTACATACTTAGATAGATGCCCAAATGAAAGTTATGGCCCAAAACACGTCTGCAGAAAACGATAAAGAAAGGTATGGAAATGATGAGCACGGACAACCCATGGGATCTAAGTGCAATAACCACCAGCAATGCATAATCCATATAATCCAGCATCTTCTCATATCTTTTCAGACTTTCACCAAGTCACACAGAAGGAGCGCTTGCTTTGCCAAGCATGGAGGAAAGCCCATCGCAACCAGAGTATCCACCATGGCGGCCGTTCCAACACCGGTGTCAGGCTGCACGGGTGCCCCTTTTTTTACCTGAAAACATACTGTCGACTCCTGCACCACATGTCGAATTCTTCATTCACACCTTTGGAAAGATCAGTTGGATTACCCAGGGTGCCATGTAAGAAACAAAACAAAAACAACATTAGATTTACCAAGTGAGGGATTAACCAGCGGAAAAATCATGGAAATCATCTTGAGCAACTCTCAGGTCATTGCGGAAAGTTCCTACACCACTGGCCAGCTTTGGACTAAAATGGCATCCAGCCCTGGACTGGTTGCTGGTGAACCAAACCTACCCTGCACCTTCGAAAGAAACTCTCGATTTGGGATCAAAAATCAAACCAACTGTTTGAAAATAAGCCATGTAATTAATTCATTTGGAGATGTTGCAGAACATACGTATTCTTTTATAAATATAATACTGCAGCAAAACCTGTACAGGCATAGGTGCGCATCAAAGGTTGAAATGGGAGACGTGTCTGTGAACTCAGGCGTTGTGGGAAAACAGTTTTACAACAATTGTCCCATCTGGAAGTCGAGTATCGTGAGTGGTGCCCCTATCTACGAGTTGTACCTCCAAAACTATCAATGAAGGTTTGCAACTTGTCCTCATCGCAACGCAACTGAAAGCGGAACAAAGTCCATTTTCACATCGTCCATGCTCGCTTCACTTGCCCAGAGATTGACAATGCACTTGGAGGCGCGGTTCCGCGAGTAAGTGCTCATCAAGCCATAGTTGGAGGGCTCAATTACGTGAATTTTTTTCCCCAACTTAAGTGGCTTAAATTCCCACGGTTTCCTTTGGTACCAGGTCGGGCCTGGTTGGTCTGGAGCCATTGGGCTGCTGCAAACCTGAACCTGATCATGGGAACTGGGTACAGAACGACCACCAATGAAAATCCTAAAGTGTGAAAAAAAAGGTTCGATTGTGACCGATCAATGTGTTTTTAACTGGGGACCCCGAAAAAAAAAATCGGCTCCCAAACTCGCCTGACGTCTGTTAACATTAGTGATTTTGGTGGTCTCCAAGGTCCGAAACATTCATACGTGCATAATCGTGCATAATCGTGCATACCTAGGCCTTCCGCAGGCCGCTTTTTCAGCCCGAAGCTGTTCAGGCTGAAATTTTAGCCCGAATGGATTTTTTTTCGCCTGGGGTGTTTTTTTCTGCCCGATTGTGTTTTTTAGTGATTTTGATGATGTTTGGTTAAGATGCCCACTCACACTATATATTGTTGATATATTGTTGATCACAGTGTTAAAGAAGTTTACTGTTTTACATGAAAATCTCATTTCGGGTGTTTTCGCCCGTTTCGTGGGTGTTTCCGCCCGAAAAAAAATATAAAAATTAAAAACCAAAGTAAAAAAACAGCGAACATCACCCACAGAGCATTTCTTTTCACCTGGATCGTCCACCAGGATATTATCAGAATACCTCAAAATATGGATAAAATCACTTTCCGCCTGAGTTTTCAGTTTCCGCCGCAGGCTGATATTTGAGGTCAGGCTGAAATTCAGGCCCTTTGGAAGATACAGGTATACAACCAACCAAACAAACAAACAAAAAAATACCATCAGAAAAGACTACAAACATCAACGAATTCTAAATAACCAAAACGGGCATGCACCTATTGAAATATGGGTTAAAATCCCGAGGACTGTGTGGGGTGAACCAAATCCCTGTATAGACCATAGACTCAGTGATAAACGGTTTGTAGATCTGAATCTACCCCGGTGTTTCCACAGTAGCATGTTTGAGAGAAGGATTATGCATGAGACGGGGGAAGGATGGGGAACCCGCAGCAATTTGCAGCAAACACTGGGTCGTACTTCACGAATTTACTGGCGCTTTGTGGTCACCTTGGATGTTTCAAATGAAGGTTGATCTGATAAAAAAATCTGCATCACCTGCTACTTCCCACATGGCAATGACGAAGTTGCATCGGTGCCAAGATGGAGAAACACGGCAAAAACAACAAGTCTCCTGGATTCAACACATGTTCTTCCAGATTTAAGCTATTGAAAACATGATTCCTCGCCATGAAAGAAAATAACAAACTACATCTAACACGGGTGTATGACACACAACCCCTCGGACCTCACACGGCAATTTGATGCGGAGTGCAGGCAACTCAAACCGAGGATTGGACCGAGGATGTTAAATTATCCATCAGCAGATGTGTAATTTGATTCGGTTTTTGTTTGGACCCATAGCATCCATGTCTGGGACACCCGACCAATTCGCCCAGAGCATGTAAAGACGATGCCACGACCCGAGCATAGCGGCCTTGCCCTCAGTGAGAAATGCAACAGTTTCTTGGGAGGGACAAGAACTGAAACTGCCACTAATGATGGAAACAACAAAACTTTACCAATGGACTATGGTGCAATGGAAAACCCACACTTTCAGGCCCGTCGGGTACAGAAGGCCCCCGCAAAATATAATCATCAGGATCAAGCATCTAGGGTTTCATGCGGTTTGAGAAGTTTTTTTGGAATCGCAAAGATTGGACGTGAGCAGTAATGATTGGAATTGAAAATGTTTGCCTGACTGCTCCTTTTCGCCGTGAACGGCTCAAAAACTGGAAGACCATGAGCAAGCAGCAATGGCCACACATTGAAACTGCATGCAACCGGACTAAACTGATTTTTGTTTAATCTAACAACTGCCATCTCCAACACTCTCCGAACCATCGCCATCCGATCATCCTGCAGCTGCGGTGCGTTCCAACGCATTGTCTTTGTCAACTGAAGGCTGCTGAAGAATTCCGAGTTCGTCATGCAACGACCTGGGGGGCTGGCCCTACAGCTCAAAGTGTCTCCTTTGGTGCTGGTTCCCTCAAGCACGGGCGCAGCATGGCGCAGCTTCGTTACAACGGTGGCACAAGTGCTTGAAAAATTGCAACATCAATTAATTCTGACAACGGTCAGAGCCCCGTCTCCGAGGCTGTATGGGCAGCGCCCTCCAAGTGAGGCGCCTTGGCGCTCTTCACGCCGTCACCCTCCGTGCCTTTAAGCTTGAACATCGTAACTACAGTAATGCTGCAAGCCAACCTGCTTGTCCTGACATCCATCGTTGACAGCAACGATATGCATCCGTATGCTAGGCCAGGACTTGTTGTTTGTAAGCGGTAGCCTCGGGAAACCAAGTCCTTGTATGAGGCAAGCGTGCCAGAGAAAGCAAACATTCTTCCCCTAGGACAGGAATGCGTTCTGATGAAAAGTGAGACGTAGTAATCTGCAAAAAAAATATCAGGATTTGCTGCAAATATTGTTGGTGAGTTTTTACATCGCCATCCACCAACAGCACGATAGAGCACATATATTAAGGTAACTCCAGGAACACAGAACTGGGGACGACTGGTCCTCGGATGGGTTTTCATCATTGGATTGCTCACATCTGCAGCTTTCCCTGGATCAAAAAGCAACCAGATTTCTGAAACCCCGCCAGAATTTGTTCAACTTACCCTCTGGTAATTTAACATAGCGAACTGGAAAATCACCATTTTTAATGGGTAAATCCACTATTTCTATGGCCATGTTCAATAGCTTTTTGTAAGTTTACCAGAGGGTAACTCCAAATCACCCCCAGCCACAAGCCCGGTTTCAGCATCACCCATCCTCCACCCAACCTCAAACAATCGATATGCACACATTACATGTGCATGCAATACAAAAAAGACATAACACACCCTCACGCAACTATCTACAATGTCATCACTTTGCAATATCGTATGCGAAGGATGTTTACTACCGGTAAATGCTTGCACCCTGCGCTTTCTTTTCACCCTTCCAGGGTGCACTAGCTTTGCCAGCCAAATTCTACCCGTGCGATTGGTATACAGCTCATTCATCATTGATGGTTCTGAATGTCATGTGAACCGTAACATAATCTTTCAATTAGCAAACATGATTTCCAAACAAAAACCTTCTGCTCCAGATGTTTTGTCAAAAAGTGCCTGATTGATTGGATTAAAGCCCAATCAAAACTTCCACCCATTGCTAAACTGCTTACTTCTCAAACTGCCCAAACATATCTGCAAATTCCCGCCCATTGCGCGGGCCGTTGTGAAATTCTGTTGGGGAAGCCACCTGCACCTTCCACTGAACGGGCTGCGGGACTCTTATCATCGATTGCTGCAAGACAGCGATGCAGCTATTGGGTTCCATTTATGAGACTAATGGTCAAAATAAATCCAAATAAGTTAGTTTCAAATGTTAGATCGCAAAAATACTGGTTGGTTCAAACAAGATTTGCTCATCTGCAAGCCCCTTTTAAAACTTCTTGAGGTTGCCGACTGCTCGCTGTGCTTGAGATTGGACCGGAGAAGTTCCAAACATTCCCTCAAGGAATGTCGGAAGACCTGGGTCTCTTGAGAGTCGCGGCAGAAAAGTGCGGGCAGGGAAGCAGCATTAAAATTTTGAACCATGATGGGTGACGATGAAACAAAATTTATGTATAAATAACGTGCAGATAAAATAACAACGAATTTGAATGAGGGAAAACCAATCATAAACCTAACCTACGTACTATTTCGGATAGTAAAACATAGCGACATAGCACCCTATTTCGTGATTTGTGATGGTCCAGGCTGGATGGTTCCCTATGGTGCCCTATCCCATGAAATACCGGTTGGTTCTGGCGGGTATCCCCACAATGGGCCTTCAGCCTCAAAATACACCAGCTAGTAGAATCCCCGACAATAACCCATCAACAGTGGTTTCTTTAATCGCTCTGGTCTAAAAGTCTTCAATGGCAGAGGCAACCCTCTTGCAACATTTTAAAAAAATATACTGTCATGGAATGGACTTGTCACCCATGCCCATGGAGGCATAGCCCCTTGGACATGCTGGAAAATTCATGGTTTTTGACGCTTTCTGATGCTTAAACTTCCATTCCCATGTCCATTCAAACATATTCAAACCTCCAAATTGTGCTGCCCCATGAAATTCCCGTTCCACTCCCATGAATTTCCATGAAACCTCCATTTTCCTGCGATCCCATGGTCCGTTCCCAT